TTTTCTCCCAAAAAATTGGTGTTTTTCCCATAAAAATGGTAAAAAAAGAGGAAATTGACCCAAAAATTTGGATTTTTTTGGCAAGAAAACTGGATAAATTGTCCCAAAAAAATTCAGATTTTTCTCTCCCATAAAAATGGGGAATGGGTTCCAAAAAAAAGAGATTTTAATGCCAAAAAGAAGGAATTTTTTCCCCCTAAAAATGAGGAAATTCCCAAAATTCTCCAAACTCCATTTCCTCAGCAGCCTCAGCACAGCCTGGGAGGAAAAAAAAGGGGAAAATTGGGAATTTTCCCCAAAAAATTGGGGTTTTTTTCCCCATAAAAATGGTAAAAATAAGAGGAATTTGCCACAAAAAATTGGTTTTTTTCTCAGGAAAATTGAGATTTTTTTCTCAGGAAAATTGAGAATTTTTTCCTCAGAAAATGATATTTTTTTTATATAAAAATAAGAAATTTGTTCCAAATAAATTGGGGTTTTTCCCATGAAAATGGTAAAATAAGAGGAATTTGTCCCAAAAATTTGGATTTTTATGAGATTTTTTTTCTCATAAAAAAATGAGAATTTATCCCAAAAAATGGGATATTTTTTTCCCATAGAAATGAGGAATTTCTTCCAAAACATTGCAATTTTTTCACCCGTAAAAGTGGAGAATTTGCCCCAAAAATTTTGGTTTTTTCCCCATAACAATGAGGAATTTGTTTGAAGAAATTGGGATTTTTTCCCATAAAAATTGGAGAATTTTTCCCCAAAAAACTGGGGGTTTAAAACATAAAAATGGCAAAAACCCGAGGAATTTGTCACAAAAATGTGTTTTTTTTAACAGAAAAATTGAGGGTTTTTTCCCCATAAAAAAGAGGAATTTGTCCCAAAAATTTGGATTTTTTTCCCATAACAGCAGGGAATTTGTTTGAAAAAAATGGGATTTTTTTCCATGAAAAAGGGAAATCTGTCCCTAAAAATTTGATTTTTTTCCTATAAAAATGAGATTTTAAGGCAAAACTAGAGGAATTTCACAAAAAAATCTACAATTTTTTTTTCCCAGTACAATCTGGATTTTTTCCCCATAAAAAAGGGAAATTTGTCTCCAAAATTGGGATTTTTTTTCCCCATAAAAATTGGAAAAAAATCGCCCAAAAATTGGGCTTTTTTTCTTCCCATAAAAATGGCAAAAAAATAAATTTGCCCCCCAAAAATTGGATTTTTTTCCCCAGAAAAAAAGGGTTTTTGTTCTCATGAAAAAGGGGAGTTTGTCCCAAAAATTTGGGGTTTTTTTTCCATAAACATTGGATTTTAGGTCATAAAAATTGGGAATTTATCCCGCAAAAAATTGGGATTTTTCCCTCAGAAAATGTGGGATTAATCTCAAAAAAAATTAAAATTTAGGCCTTAAAAATTTGGGGCTGGGTCCTAAAAATGAGGAATTTTGCCTCAGAAAATGTGGAATTTGTCCCAAAAGAGGAATTTTTTCCCTAAAAATTTGGACTTTTCCCTCAGAAAATGTGGGCTTAATCACAAAAAATGCAATTTTAGGCCCTAAAAATAGAATTTTTCCCTCAGAAAATGTGGGCTTAATCACAAAAAATGCAATTTTAGGCCCTAAAAATAGAATTTTTCCCTCAGAAAAGGTGGACTTAACACCAAAAAATGCAATTTTAGGTCCAAAAAATTGATTTTTTCCCTCAGAAAATGTGGAATTGATACAAATAAAAGGAAATTTTATGTCCTAAAAATGTGGACTTTTCCCTCAGAAAAAACAGGATTGATTTTACAAAATGCAATTCCAGGCCCTAAAAATGGGGATTTTCCCTCAGAACATGTGGGGTTGATCCCAAAAATAAATTTTTTCCCTAAAAATTGAGATTTTCCCTCAGAAAATGTGGACTTAATCCCAAAAAATGCAATTTCAGGCCCTAAAAATGTAATTTTTCCCTCAGAAAATGTGGGATTAATCCCAAAAAATGAAATTTCAGGTCCAAAAAACTGAATTTTTCCCTCAGAAAACGTGGACTTAATCCCAAAAAATGCAATTTCAGGTCCAAAAAACTGAATTTTTCCCTCAGAAAACGTGGACTTAATCCCAAAAAATGCAATTTCAGGCCCTAAAAATGGAATTTTTCCCTCAGAAAATGTGGACTTAATCCCAAAAAATGCAATTTCAGGCCCTAAAAATTGAATTTTTCCCTCAGAAAATGTGGACTTAATCCCAAAAAATGCAATTTCAGGCCCTAAAAATGTAATTTTTCCCTCAGAAAATGTGGGATTAATCCCAAAAAATGAAATTTCAGGTCCAAAAAACTGAATTTTTCCCTCAGAAAACGTGGACTTAATCCCAAAAAATGCAATTTCAGGTCCAAAAAACTGAATTTTTCCCTCAGAAAACGTGGACTTAATCCCAAAAAATGCAATTTCAGGCCCTAAAAATGGAATTTTTCCCTCAGAAAATGTGGGCTTAATCCCAAAAAATGCAATTTTGGGCCCTAAAAATGGAATTTTTCCCTCAGCAAATGTGGGATCAATCCCAAAAAATGAGATTTTTGTCCCTCAAAATGTGGATTTCCCCCTAAACCCCCCAAATCCGCACTCACCTGGTCCAGGTCGGTCTCCACGGACACCGAGAGCCGCAGATTTTCGGGAATTCCGAAGGTGCCGATGGCGGGACTTCCCGCAGGAATTCCCAAATGTTCAGCCACGTCCCGAACCGTGGCCAGCGTGGCCGTGGCCGTGAGGCCCAGGAAGCACCGAACGCCCAAGCGCTCCCGCAGAACCTGGGATTTTGGGAATAAAACCCGGATTAGACGGGATTTTGGGGGGATTTTTGGGGATTTTCCGAGGTTTTTGGGGTTTTTCCCACCTTGCAGACCCTGAGGTAAGCGGGCCGGAAGTTGTGGGACCATTGGGAGATGCAGTGAGCTTCATCCAGGCAGGCGAAAGCCACGGGAGGGAAACGGCGGAAAAGGCGGGAAAAAAATCCCGATCCCACCACAGATTCCGGGGAAAGCAGCAGGATTTGGGCTTGGCCGCTGCTGACCTGGAGGGAAATCGGGATTATCCTGGAGTTTTTTTTAAGGAAAAAGTGGGAATTTTGGGGGTTTTACTCACTTTTTTTATGGCTGCTTCACGCTGGGATTGGGTGAGGTTGGAGTGGATGCAGACGGCTTTGAGGGCTGAGGGGAGGTTGGAAACCTGGGAGTGGGAATATTGTGGGGGGTTTTTTTTGGGGGATTTTGTGAAGGAAATATCCCAAAAAAAAAAAAGCGGGAATGGCGGGAATACCTGGTCGTCCATGAGGGAGACGAGGGGGGAGATGACGAGGGAGATGCAGCGGGAACGGCGGTGGTAGAGGAAGGCGGGGAGTTGGTAACAGAGGGATTTGCCCGAGCCCGTGGGCTGCAGCAGCAGTGTGGAGATTCCTGGGGAAAATGGGAATTTTGGGATGCTGGGAGAGGGGAAAAGGGAGGAAAAGGGAGGGAAAAAGTGAGGGGAAATGTAGTGAAAAGGGTTGGAAGAACTGAGGGGAAAAAGGGCATGAAAAACTGAGGGGAAAAGGGCGGGAAAAACTGAGGGAAAAAGGGCGGGAAAAACTGAGGGGAAAATGGCGGGAAAAACTGAGGGGAAAATGGCGGGAAAAACTGAGGGGGAAAATGGGAAAAAGGGCAAGAAAAACTGAGGGGAAATGTAGTGAAAAGAGTGGGAAAAACTGAGAGAAAAAGGGCGGGAAAAACTGAGGGGTGGGGAAAATGGTGAGAAAAACCAAGGGGAAAAGTGGGAAAAAGGGCAAGAAAAACTGAGGGGAAATGTAGTGAAAAGAGTGGGAAAAACTGAGAGAAAAAGGGCGGGGAAAACTGAGGGGAAAAGTGGGGAAAATGGTGGGAAAAACTGAGGGGGAAAATGGGAAAAAGGGCAGGAAAAACTGAGGGAAAAAGGCAGGAAAAACTGAAGTGGGGGGAGAAGGGCAAGAAAAACTGAGGGAAAATGTAGTGAAAAGGGTGGGAAAAACCAAGGGGAAAAGTGGGGAAAATGGTGGGAAAAACTAAGTGGGAAAATGGGAAAAAGGGCAGGAAAAACTGAGGGGAAATGTGGAGAAAAGAGTGGGAAAAGCAGGGAAAATTTGAGGGGAAAAGGGTGGGAAAAAGGGCAGGAAAAACTAAGGGAAAAAGGGCAGGGAAAAAGGTGTGAAAAACAGGGAAAAAAGGGCAGGGAAAAGAGCAAGAGAAAAGGGCAGTAAAATAAAGGTGGGAAAAAACGGCAGAAAAAACTGAGAGAAAAAGGGCAAGGAAAAAAGGGTGGGGAAAAAAGGGGCAAAAAAAAAAGAGTGGGAAAATGGAAAGAAAAAAGAGCAGGAAAAATGGAGAGGGGGGAAAAGGGTGGGGAAAAAGGGTAGGAAAAATGCAGGTGAAAAAAAGAGGGGGAAAAGGGGAAGAAAAAAGCAGGGAAAAAAGGGTGGAGAATAAAAAAAGGGTGGGGAAAAGTATGGGAAAAAAGGGCAGGGAAAATGGCAGACAAAACTGAGGGAAAAAGGGCAGGGATAAAAGGCTGGGGAAAAAAGAGTGGGAAAATGGAAAGAAATAAGGGCAGGAAAAAAGCAGGAGAAAAAAAGAAGGGGAAAAGGGGCAGGAAAAATGCAGGGAAAAAAGGGCAGGAAAAAAAGAGTGGGGAAAAGGTAGAAAACTGGAGGGGAAAAAAGTGGGGAAAAAAAGAATGGAGGGGAAAAAAGTGAAGGGAAAGAAGAGGGGAAAAAAAGGATGGGGAAAAAAGAATGGGAAGAAAGAGCAGGGAAAAAGGGTGGGGAAAAAAAAAGATGGGGAAAATTTAGGGAAAAAGAGCAGGGAAATGGAAAGGAAAGAGGGCAGGAAAAAAGGCGGGAAAAAAAGGCGGGAAAATCGAACCGGAAAGGACCCTCATGACGGCCTCAGCCTGGCCGGGCCGGAAGGAATCGTATCCCAAAGTTCTCAGAGCTTCCAGCACTTCCTCCGGAGGATCTGTGGGATTCAGGAGGAGAAAATGTGGAATTTCCCCCCGGGTTTTTCCGGGGTTTTTCCAGGTTTTCTCCGGGGTTTACCTGGGACGGTCCCATCGGGGTTTGGGGGGTAAAGGGGATCCATGGGAGGTGGGGGAGGGGATGGGGGGGAGAATTCTGGCTGAGGGAAATCCAGGGAATCTGGGGGGAGTTGGGAATTTTCCGTGTTGGATCCATCTGGAGGGAAAAAGGAAAAAAAACCGGGATTTTAAGAGGAAAATTCCAGGTTTTTAGGGGGAAAAAACCAATTTTTAAACCTAAAAATGTCATTCTTGGGGACAGCTCCCAAGTTTTCTGAGGGGAAATCCACATTTGTAGGATCCAACCTCAGTTTTTAGGGAGAAAAGTCCCATTTTTAGCACCTAAACTTGGATTTCCTGGGGGCAAATTCCTCATTTTTTAGGATCCAACCAAAATTCTTAGGGGAAAAAACCCCATATTTAAGGTCTGAAATGTCAAAATTTCATTTTAGGCTCTAGAATTTCTTTTTTAGGGCCAAATCCCACATTTTTAGATCCCAAATTGTAAGTTTTAGAATCCACTTACTTTTAAGGATACATTCTCACATTTTTAGGATAAAGAATCACATTTTTAAGACCAAATTCTCCAATTTTTAGGGCAAAATTCCAGACTTTTAGAACCCAAATTCCTCACTTTTAGACCAAAATCCCATTTTTTCATCCCAAATCCTGGCTTTTTTAGTACCCACTTCCTTTTTAGGATAAACCCTCACATTTATTGGGAAAAAAAAAATCACATTTCTGAGGACAAAATCCCAATTTTAAGGCCCAAATCCCAAACTTTTTGAGAGCAAAACCCCATTTTTGGAGGTCAAAATTCTAATTTTAAGGCCTAAATCCCACATTTCTGAGGGCAAAATTCCAATTTTAACGTCCAAATCCTAATCTTTGAGCCCAAAACTCCAATGTTAAGGCCAAAATCCCAATCTTAAGGCCCAAATCCCAAATTTTTTGAGGCCAAAACCCCATTTTTAAGGTCAAAATCCCATTTTAATGTCCAAATCCCACATTTTTGAGGACAAAATTCCAATTTTAAAGACCAAATCCCTCATTTTTGAGACCCAAATCCCAATTTTAAGCTCCAAATCCCTACTTTTGAGGGACAAACTTCAATTTTTGATGCTAAAATCCCAATATTAAGGTCCAAATGACAATTTCTGAGGCCAAAATTCCAATTTTAAGGTCCAAATCCAAATTGTTGAGGACAAAGCTCCAATTTTTGATGCCCAACCCCCAATATTTGCTACAAAATCCAAATTTTAAGTCCCAAATCCCACATTTTTGAGGGCAAAATCCCATTTTTTGAGGCCAAAATTCCAATTTTAAGACCCAAATCCCAACTTTTGAGGCTAAAATGCCTATTTGAAGCTCCAAATCCCAATTTTTGAGGCCAAACCCCCCTCATTTCCCACCCTTTCCCTGGGAAAATACAGGAATTCCATAATTCAGTTTCTCACCGGGAATTTCTGGGATAAAATCTCCGTTGCTCCTTTGGGCCACTTCTTCCAGAGTGAGAAGCGCCTTCTCCTCGGGAGCTTCCTCCGGGTACGATCCAAATTTCTTCCCTGTGAGCAGAATCCCCACAAAAATCCATGGAAAAGAACCCCCTCACCCTTTTCAGCTGTTTTATCCCCAAAATCCTTTCAGAAATCCCAAAAAATCTTGGAATTTCCGCAGGAATGTCTCTTGGAACGATCCCAAATCCAAACCCAAATCCTCCCTGCGGGCACAACTCCCAAAAAATCCATGGAAAAGAACCCCCCCACCACCATTTTCCTGCCATTTTATCCCAAAAGTCCCATTGAAAATCCCAAAATTCCCTCAAAAAATGCAAAAAATCCCCTCAGAAATCCCCAAAATTCCCAGCCTGACCTTGCAGTTTTATCAGGAATTTCTCTAGGAACATTCCCAAATCCTTCCCTGCTCGGGCAATTCCCTCAAAAACCCATGGAAAAGAACCCCTGCACACTTTTCCCACTCTTTTATCCCAAAATTCCCCTCAGAAATCTAAAAAAAACCCAATCCCCTGAGAAATCTCAAAAAATTCCCAGCCTGACCTTGCAATTTTCTCTGGGAACAATCCGAAATCCTTCTCTAAGCACAAAATTCCCTCAAGAATCCATGGCAAAGAACCCCCCTCACCATTTTCCCACTCTTTTACCCAAAAAAACCCCTCAGAAATCCCAAAAATTCCTGCCCTGACTTCACAGTTTCCTTAGGAATTTCTCCGGGAACAATCCCCAGTCCTTCCATGTGACCAGAATTCCCTCAAAAATCCATGGAAAAGAAACCCCCTCACACTTTTCCTGCTCTTTTATCCCAAAAATCCCTTCAGAAATCCCAAAATTCCCTCAAAAAATGCAAAAAATCCCCTCAGAAATCCCAAAAATTCCCGGCCTGACCTCGCAGTTTTTTCAGGAATTTCTCCGGAACAATCCCAAATCCTATCCCAAATCCTTCCCTGTGAGGGCAACTCCCTCAAAAATCCACGGAAAAGAAACCCCCTCACACTTTTCCTGCTCTTCTATCCCAAAAATCCCCTCAGAAATCCCAAAATTCCCTCAAAAAATGCAAAAAGTCCCCTCAGAAATCCCCAGCCTGACCTTGCAATTTTTTCAGGAATTTCTCCAGGAACAATCCCAAATCCAATCCCAAATCCTCCCTGCACGCACAACTCCCACAAATCTCCACAGAAAAGAACACCCTCACGCTTTTCCCACCATTTTATCCCAAAAATCTCCTCCGAAATTGCAAAATTCCCTCAAAAATCCCCTCAGAAATCCCAAAAATTCCTGGCCTGACCTCGCAATTTTTTCAGGAATTTCTCCACTAACAATCCCAAATCTGATCCCAAATCCTTCCCTGTGTGGGCAACTCCCAAAAAACTCCACAGAAAAGACCACCCTCACACTTTTCCCACCATTTTATCCCAAAAATCTCCTCAGAAATTGCAAAAATCCCTCAAAAATCCCCTCAGAAATCCCCAAAATTCCCAGCCTGACCTCACAATTTTTTCAGGAATTTCTCCACTAACAATCCCAAATCTGATCCCAAATCCTTCCCTGTGTGGGCAACTCCCAAAAAACTCCACAGAAAAGACCACCCTCACACTTTTCCCACCATTTTATCCCAAAAATCCCCTCAGAAATCCCAAAAATTCCTGGCCTGACCTCGCAATTTTTTCAGGAATTTCTCTGGGACTGATCCCAAATCCTGCCCTGCGCGGGCAATTCCCTCAAAAATCCATGGAAAAGAAACCCCCTCACACTTTTCCCGCTGTTTTATCCCAAAAATCCCCTCAGAAATCCCAAAATTCTCTCAAAAAATGCAAAAAAAATCCCTTCAGAAATCCCAAA